TAAAGTCATATGGCAGTAACTCAACACAACAGCGACATGAGGATTATAAGTTTATAAGCTATTTTAAATATTCATTTCCTTAATATTCATGGTACCATTTTATTGCATCATTACAGTAAAACAGCATGGAGCCCTCTTATATTTGGACAAGAGAAAAGGGACTCCTTAAAGTTACGGAGCTAGTGATGCAAAGTCAGAAAAAGAACAGAACCGTTCTGATGGGTAAATTGTGCTTTGTTTCCCTTGCCAGATTTCACATCATTTTTAAGAACGTAGCGCTGTAGTGTTGTAGTTGGAAGCACTAGAAAGGAAAAGAAGACCGCAGAAGGTCCTGGCGGTAGGCGCTGCCCCCAAACCACAGCAGTGCAGAAGCGTAGAGCTGCCCATCTTCCACTCTGCTGCGTGCAAGCTGGAAGACTTTCCACCAAGTAATTTACACAGTAATCGCAGTTATAAATATTTAAAATATTACTTTCCCTGTTTTGCTGACTCACCCTCCTTTTTCATGGGGATGTGTTTTTCTTGCTGAACATGGTGTCTTCATGTATGCCTGCCGCTGACAAGTCATGGGCTGTGTATGGTCCACACAATGGCACAGCGATCACTTTTCTTGCAGTATATTCTGGGTTATGGCATGTAAATTTAAATGACTTGGGATTATTTTTGATGAAATACTTCTGAACCTTGTAATCTTCTTTTCGTTTTTGTAAAATTAACTTTCCAACAGGAAGATGTATATTATCTCAGTTATACAGAATTTGCTTTCCATCAAGTTAAAATCATGAGAAATGCTTTTACCAACCTGATTTTCTTATGTACAGCATCCACAGGGTCTCACTAGACAGATGGAACTCATAGTGACCCTCCTGTCTTCAGCCTCCCAATCGCTGGGATTACAGGCACATGCCACCATGCCCAGTCTACTAATCTGATGTTTTATTTTCTGTAACAGAACCTCATTTCTGACTTAGTGTTTTAATTGTATTAGTGTCTGCAATTTCTTAAATTTCATTTTCTGTAGAAATTTAAAAGTAGAATTATATTGCAAATGTAGACACATCTTAACGATACCTGTTCAATACTACTTTTTATTTTAATAATTTTATTGAGAAACAAAGCAATGAGACAGTTTCAAAACAGGGTAGTAGGACAGTTACAGTAATACGTTGCATACTGTTGTCTTCGTAGTAGTTATTTGGAGTATAAGATGCAGACATGATATCTTGTCTAAACACTATTAGTATAAATCTTTCTTCTCATTGAACTAAGAGAAAGTAGCTGTATATTTATGTTATTTATTTATTTATTTATTTATTTATTTATTTATTTATTTATTTTGGCAAACCAGGGATTGAACTCATGCCCTTGCACTTGCCAGGGAAGCACTTATTCTATTGAGCCATCTCCCCGGCCCCATATTTATGCTATTTTGTATATACAGATTATAATATTATTTAAAAATATAAGTGCTTGTATTAGCATGGCTTACATGAATAAACCTTTTTCAATAATATATCAGAGAGAGAGAGAGAAGAGAAGAGAGGGGAGGAGAGGAGAGGGGAGGGGAGAGGAGAGAAAGCAGCCACGTCTACCTGTTGGAGACCTGCTTGAGGGTGATTTGGCTTTAGGAGATTGGTAATAGCTCTCTCTCCAACGTAATGAAATAAATTGAAAGTTTTACTGTAGTGGAGAAATAGATGCTATTGTATGTAGTTATAATGTGGAGTCACATATTTCACCAAGTATAAAGTCAACTAAAGCAGATTATGATGGTTATTGTAGTATTAATTTCACAAGAGGTGCATGAAAGGCAGATGTTAAAATTTAGTAAGTATTCATTGGTTTGAAGTTTTGTGTTGTTTTGTTTTTCACGAGACAGTGTCTCACTGTGTAGCCCAGGCTGACCTTGAACTCACAGTGATCTTCCTGCTTCAGCCTCTAGAGTGCTGGGATTACAGGCGTTCGGCACCATGATCAACTGGTTTGAAGTATTTGAAATTGTTGGTGTTTTCCTGCTTTTGATAGGAAGTAGTATATAGATATCTTCGGGGTTCTTTTGTTTTTGTTTTTGTTTTTGTTTTTTTGGCGGAACTGGGGATTGAACTCAGGCCCTTGCACTTGCCAGGCAAGTGCTTATTCTGCTGAGCTGTCTCCCCGGCCCCTCTTTGTGATCTTTTAAAATATGTTGACTTTAGAAACTTTTGCCCTTAGTTGTTTACACATAGCAAGAACATCTTCCCTCTAGTGACTTTTATTATGTACTTATTAATCTTATTCTTTTTTAATCTTTTCCCTAATAATTGTTCCTTGACGTTCATAAAAATAGTTACAAGTCATAAGAGAATGCTTTGTCTGAATGAGTTTGAACTTTAGGAAGTAAGTCATAAAATCATGGTGCATGTGAACAGTCTCTGAATACTCAGAAACTGGATGTGTGCGGGCGGAATGTGGATGGGCCGGTGGAGGAGCAGGAAGATGAGATGAATGAGTAGAGCAATGGCAGGTGGTTGCTCACCTGGCCTGCGGGAGGCGTGGAGGAAGGGACATGAGAGGCTGTACCCTCACATTCGGCCGGAACATGGGGAGGGTTGTATGAGCATGTTTCCAAGTCAGTCTTCAAAGTGGAAAGGGAAATGCACCGTAATTGTAACTATTTGACAACACTTGACCAATGACACATGGTGAAGTCCTGTCAGAAGGTAGTGTGCGTGTTTGCCTCGGGGGAAGTAAGGCACTCTCAGTGCCATGCCTGCCTCGCAGACACCACCAGCTTGGGGCCGTAGTGTGAGCGCTGCGTGTGTGTACGTCGTCTGCAGCCAAGGCGCTGGGCCTGGGACGTCCTCACCTCACTTCCACCAGCCTTGCTGGGGTCCAGCTGCAATGTCAGGAGTCCGCCAGCACTGAGCACATCGTGGGTTACCTGATACGCAAAACAGCGCTCTTGGTGGTGAGCACCCTCTGACAGGCCCCAAAGGTAGCATTAGGAGCCCCTACCAGTGAGCCAATCCAGTCAGCTTTCTTTGTTCTAATGATTTTACAGATGTGGAGCATGCACCTGCCCCTAGACTTGGCCTGTCGCTCACTTTCTATCCGCCCTCCCTGCCTTCTCCAACAAACTCTGATAATACTGGATCAGTGTCTTCTTGTGTTGGGATCAGATGACAGCACAGGAGGACAGGACTAATGTCATGTGCTTTTTATATTTTAATAGGATTCTGAGTTCCTAAAACATGTCATGAAACAGGTGTAACTGCCGCTTAAATGATAAGATGAAATGGGACCATTTTATGTCAACTGCAAACACCTTAAAAAAAAGTTTTGCAGAGGAAGGGATGAAAAAGACAAAGCATAATGAATGGAGAAAGAAGTGGAAGGTGTTAAGCTTTAGTAAGTGTAGACTTGATAGAAATAAGAATTTAGGAATTAGAGCGACAAAGGGATTCTACTCTGGGCTTGAAATTCTTCCAAAGTGACCCTCCTGTGGCCCACATGGGTGACAGCGTTCAGACAATATGCACTTTCACTGCCAGTGAATATTTAGAAAGGCATCCCTAGCTTCTTTGGTTCCTGACATCTGCTCCTCTGACCGACCTAACTACTACTGAAACCATCTCCCAATTTGTTTATGTTCTGCTGGCAGCGAAGGCTGTGCCCAGAGCTAACGTTTGTTCGTGTGTTGCACCAGCAGGTCATCAAATTTTCAAGGAGTAGTAGCTGGGCGTGTGAAAAATTGTGTTTTCTTTTTGTCTCTTGAATCCCTAATAATCCTTAACATTGGAGTCATGTATTCACCTCAGATATTTACATAGAAATGTGTTGGCCTTCACCAAACTCTTTCCTATAACTCAGGTAACCTACAACTCACTCATCCAATATGACATTAATAAATATTCTGAAGAAAAGAAATTTCCTTGGTTTGGAAAACATTGCATATGCTATATATCTCCTTTGTAGAGCTTTACGGAGTGCATTTGCATATTAACAGCTCTGAGAGGCCTTCCAGTAAAATAATAATACTGATGATGCTGTTAAACTAAATCTACTTTCTAAACAGTTTGAAAAATGCCAAAATATGTATAATGCATTACGTGGTTGAATTTATTAGCAGCTGAAGTTATCCTGTGCTATCAGTTAAGGTACAACCCAGAGCGACTCTGAGTCTCTCTTTGTTCCCGTTCCCTTTGTTTGGGAAGGGATCATTCGGTCTTGTTCTAAACTTTATAGCTGTAGGCCACGAGCAATCCCGTCACTGCCTCCACATAAATGGAACTTTTCTATACTTTAATCTCCTCCTTCCTAGCTTACCTTGGGGCTCCCCGCATTCACCAGCACCCTTCCTCCAACCCCTTGGCTTTCTGGATTTTTCTGAGGAAGGCTCTCTTGTATCCCACTCAACCCAACCTACTCAGCATTTCCCACTCAGGACAGGGGTGCAAGTGCGTGCCACATTGGAGCCCACATTGCCATCCGGAGGCATACTGACTGACATCGCATCACGACTCACTTTTACATCGCATAGGACTGAGTCTCCAGTACTGCACCTCCTCCCCGGCTCTCTGTTGTGACTCCGGCTGGGGTTTTGTGTGGGTTCAGGGGGTGGGAGCTCTAGCCTCCTGGTCCCCTGGCTCCTGCGCTCTGAGCTTTCAGAGGTGTCTGAGGAAGAGAATATGAAGCACCAGTGTCTTTAGGAAATTTCTCTAGGATCAGGAAAGCACCTTCTGGGCATGAATCAATGTGGAAATTGGTCTTTGCGGATTATAAATGATGACTTCCGCTTTGTGTACAGTGTCTTTAGGTCTGTTATCTGCTGAAGAAGTGGATTCCAACCTGTGACAATTGTGATAATTTGGCCGGCACATCTCCCCCTTCCTCCGGTGTTGGGGCCCCCTGTGTGTTCCCATGTGTCTGCGGAGCACTGCCGGCGCCCTCTGCCATATGTACTTGGTTGGTCTCAATGATTGTTACCTGAACAGTAAGCTGGTGCCTGTCTTTGCCCACAGGGGTACGTCTTGACAGAGTACGTGGCGGTCGGCAGAAGTACAAGCGCAGAATAGATGCAGAGAACAGCCCATACCTGAACCCTCAGCTGGTTCAGCCAGCCAAAAAGCCATGTAAGTACAGCACATGCGTCTGCTTCTGAGCACAGAAAACCTTCCCCGTTGGCGCCTTTCCCCGGGGTGCTGGTGCCCCTCTCCCCCGCTGCTCCAAGGGGACGTCTCTCTGTTGGAGAACAGTGGCCAGCTCCCGAGGACTGTTTGTACAAAGCAAGCACATTATGACTAATTGTCATTCTTATTCTTTGAAAGATAACGCTTTTTCTCCCTCCCCTTGTTGCACCTCGCAATCCCGTGGAAGCGTAAGCACGTTTACGCGTCACTTCTGGGGCGCGCCTTTTGCGTGGACTGGTCATCTCTCTCTGCGGAGGTGCGTACAGTGGCTCCTACCGTGGGCATTAGTTCATTGACGCTGTGCATTTCAGATGTCACAAGAAAGTGATTTTTGCAGTTTTCTAAAACTAAATGAGTTTGGCTGCTCAACCTCCCAATGAAAATACATCAGGGGCCTCATTAATTTGGAGCTATAGAAGGTTAACACACTAGCTAGCAATAGATTAAAACAGGGATGGGCCCCACGAATAATAAGCATAGGCTGCCTGCTCCGTCTCAGAGGCGCTGCTGGGCATTAGGAGTTGTTTCTAAAGAGCCTGTGATTTTTCGATGCCAGGTTGCAACTTGAAAGGCTCACTGGTCCACTGCTAAAATGCAAACCCCGTTCTTTCTGTCATTAACTAAAAAGAGCTGGAATATAGATCAAGATAGTGACTGTATCCCATTTTCTGAAAAATCAGTTAATGGCAGTAGTGTTGGGGAGCGGCAGTTTAAGAGGGTTTCTAAAGCATGATGTTCAGACCCGGCCTGGGAAGAGCGTGGTGCGCAGTTGCCTCACACTTGGCTGCCACTGTCACACAAGGCCGTGCGGGCTCACTAGAGGAAGGTGGTTTACAGCCTTCCAGGAGAGGGACAGGCCGCGTTGCCTCCGCTTTCCCGGGAACAGTGTCCACTTCTCGTTCAGCTCGACCAGGAGGGGTCGCTGCTGCGCACCTTACTCACAAGGAGCATATGGGAATCTATTAAACAAATAAACCAGCCCCTGAACTGTAAACAAAAGGACATTTCAGCTATGTCAAAGGAAAAACAACCAGTTTTACATAAAATTAAAGCTTAAGTGAACATATGGCATAGTTTTCCTTTTGCCTTTCCAAAAATCATTATGTTGATTATACCTTCAATTGTCCAATCTGGAATCTACCCCACAGCCTGCCTAAACTGTTTGGGGCTCTGCGGATACAGCCTAGAACTGCACTGAGCAGATTTTGCACATTATAATAAAAAACTTTCTGATAATACAATAAAACGAAATGCACACTAATGCTTAATTTCATTAGAGGTTTAGTTTTCCTTGATACAATAATATACACATTGCCCGTTTTCTGGTTGATTTTATGGGAATGTGGACTGACACCATGGATAACTCCTTCTGCTGAAAGAAAACAGCACCCAGGCCCATTTGTAAGTCAGCAGGATAAAGGAACCTTCATTGTTTTTTGTGTAAACCTGAGGAATTGGGAAGTGGCTTGTCAAGTACTTTTAAGAAGATTACAGCAATTTCAGTGAGCTCCATTTGTCTGAGATAAAGAGGACTCCTAATAAATCATTACTCATTATCTAAGGCCCTCTGTGTTAATTTTCCTTAGTCCATCCAATTAGTGTGTTTTTGTAACAAACATTTATAAAACTTAATTTTCAGATGTTGTCAGATAAGTGTCAGGAGATGCCTGGGCTTTGCTGAAAAGGCGGCTGGGGAGACTCCTGCACCCTGACTGATTGCTGGCGTACTACAAAGCCCCCAGAATGAAAATTGGGTTCTATTGATTCTAATTAGGGAAACATTAAATAAGATTTACCTAGAAACAGGGCTGCTGGCTATTCCATTTTCTGAATGATGGGAAGTTTGAAGCTTCACCCGGATTTCTCTGAGCCCTCAAGTCAAGGCCCATTGACTGGGGTTATACAGCTTCCTTTCACCCTGTGCTGAAAAATGCCCGGAGCCATGATCTCCCATGGCTCCATTTGTGTGCCCTTTGCTGTTGCGTTTTCTTTGTACCCTGGGCATCTCGTGCTTTCCACCAGGTTTCAGTGCCCTGTCAGTGGCAAGGAGGTTGAAACTTCTCCAAACAAAACTAAAAATCCTGGGTGTTTTGCCTGCAGCATAAGTGAGAAGCAAACACCATTCTTTGCAGAGCCTGTACATTATTTTTTTGCTAAGAACTGTGATATTTGGGATCTCCTCCCTAATATCTCCTCCCTAATCTGATGTTCAGTGTAATGATCATTGAGTATTACTGCCGGTGGCTGTTATCTGGTAGATATTTGAAATAAATTTAATTCATATGGCCATATTAATGAATTTTAAAGTATCACAGCAGAGAAAGTCCTAATTGGAGAACACATAGGCCTCCTGTTTATGTCATCACAGGAGAGTAAAGGCGAATTGGTGACATGGTGAGTACTGTTTTGTTGGTAGAGAGTTTGCTTAGTGCCCTGGTTTTCTAGAATAACTGCACATAGAACACTTGAATATGTGGGTTTGTTCTTACCCATTTGGATCTCTGTGTTTGCAAGAAAATAGAAAATGTGAAGCTAGATACCAAAATCAGACCATGGAAAAAAGCCGTTCCTCTCCCTAAGCTTTACAGCAATCCACTCTCTCATGCCCCTGAGCGGTAAAGCACAGCCAAGGGATGCTGCCCATTTGTCTCTAGTGTTTATATTTTATGAAGGATTTCTAAAACATCTATCACCAATTTCAGACAGATAAATCTGAAGCAGAGAATGAGCTAAGGACAACAGATGAAAATAGAGGATAAAGGAATTGGGTGCTCGGGACAGAAAATACTGTGCCATTTAAGTAGGAGTGTTTTTATGGAAACTGATATTAGCTATATTTGGAAGGCTGGCTGGGCCCATGGGAAGGGAGAGAAGGAAAGAAATTCCCATTTAATGCATCCCATGGAAATAGAATTATATCATCAGTAATTCATCCAGGCAGAAGGGCTCTGACCTTTGCTTTTCTTTAAAGGAATTAAGACAATTAATGGCTTTTATGCCTAGTATGACTGTGGGTATCAGTGGTTCTCTGGCTTCCATATCCTAGCATATATTTCACTGGTTTGTCATGGATTTTCATCTTAAAGCTGTTGTATGCTGTTTAATCTGTTTCCCCAAATCCCACTTAAGAATCAGAGAGCAAATCCAGGAAGCATCTCATGTCTCACATGTTTGCTGTAAAAATGTTTGGTACCGGATAGATGGTTCATCCCAGCAAAAACAGGTAAAGCAAATAAGAAGACGAGCAATTCCAGTGTAGCTACAGTGGCTGGCTTCTTGCTGGGAGCTTTTCTCCTCGAGGGTAAACTCATGTACATGACGCGAGGGGCCACGCGGGTCTGTTGAGTGCTATGGGAAACGCAAACCTCTGTGTGGCTGCTCAGAGAGGGACAATACTCTCCTAGTGATGTCGTAGTTCTCTGGTCTTATCCTGCAGATAACAAGATTGTCTCCCATTTGTTGGTGGCTGAACCGGAGAAGATCTATGCCATGCCTGACCCCACCGTCCCTGACAGTGACATCAAAGCGCTTACCACACTGTGTGACTTGGCCGACCGGGAGCTGGTGGTCATCATAGGATGGGCAAAGCATATTCCAGGTACAGTTTCTGAAAAGCAAGAAGAGGCGGGCGGTCATAGGGAGTTCTCCGGGCTATGGGTGTCAGCCTGGGAAAATGCAGAATCTCCTCATGGAACCTTTTTTTAACCTTCACATTTTTTTGGAATCACACAACTCAGAGCTTTGCGGATGTGAATAGGATCATAAACCTTGATATGTTTATACCCCATGAACTGTGAGAGTCATCTAATGTACCACTGTCACTTTTAGGAGCCATCCATGTTGTTGTTTTATGGTGGCTATTTATATTGATCTTTTCTTCTATCCATCCATCTCTCTTTGGTTTACAGTTAGATATTTACCATGACTTTATACACAAATTAGGAAAATAAGGATCAAATGGATATGAATGTTCTCATGGTAATTTATGGTTATTTACAATTTGTGTTCACTTTGTTCTTTGGACCTATTCTAAAACATCAGTGCACATGTACCTGTTCATAAGTTTTAAGAATTTCAGAGAAAAAAAGAAAAAAATAGTGAAAGGAAATAGCAGTTGTTCAGGGGCTGGAGAGGTAGCTCAGTGACCTAAGTGCCTACCTGGCAAGTGCACGATCCTGGGCTCAATGCTGAGTACCCCCTTCTCCCCCCCCCAAAAAAAAAGAAAAAGAAAAAGAAAAAAAGGTAAGAGAAATAATTCCAGGATTCTCTTTGAATTATTTTTTATCTGTTGGGACTCTGAGTAGCTCACCATCAAATGTTTGAATGCTGAGCAATATTTTTCTGGTACAGTTAACTTCTGTCTCCTTAAACTAGTTTGTCTTTATGCTTTGAATGCTAGAGTAATTTCTTTAATCAAATTGATGGAAGTCCCTTTCTCAGCCCACACTGAAACCAATTTATTGGTCATGATACGCCAGCGATGTTGTTAGAGTTGCTAACAGTCGTAACGAACTGTCAGGCTATATCGCAGGGAAGCTAATTTGAAGTCATTAGGTGTGCGGCGTTCGGCGACGATTTGTTACAGTGGTTGGGAACACAGCTGACATTTCTGAATGGCTTTGTTCGTTGCACTTCTAGAGGAGGCCAAGCAAATTGTGAACTAATTTAAACATCACTCTGGATTATACCAGCTACTTTGTCCTACACTGGCTGCTAATAAAGAATCCCAAATTAAGTCAAAACTAGTTAAATAGGTGAGCTTGAGTGTGTTCTTTAGAAAATACCTTCACAAAGGTTACTCCAGCTAACAGGAAGGGGGTGCTTTCGCCGTGTGGGGAAGTTGATGCTGCATGCGGCTGCCACCCCATCTGTGTGAAGGGGACAGAGAGGCCGAAGAAAACTATTACAGGGTGCCGAGACATTTGAGAGCTGAACTTGCTGGAGCAGGCAAGAAGCCTTGCTTGGAAGGAACGTGGCACGGAAGAGTTAGAGCAGGACCAAGCAAAATGATGCTTGTTGGCGTAGCCGTAGACGTTTTTAGCTAATGGGATACCTCATTACAGTAATGTAGTCTGCTGCTGTGACATATATATGTTTGTATACAACATTACATATATACATAGATGTATGTATATGCATTTTTGAATTTTTTTTATGTATTTGGTGCAAGGTCACACTACACAGCTCAGACTCATAATGACCCTCCTGTTTTATCCTCCCCAGGGCTGGGATTACAGGCAAGCGCCACCACGCCCAGTCTCCGTGGCTGGCTCAGCGCACCTGGGGGCGGGGCCAGTGCAGCATGTGGCGCTAGAGATCAAATCCTGCTCCCTGCACTTGCCTAAGCAGGCGCTTATTCCTCTGTGCTATCTTGTCAGCCCTGCATTTTTGAAATATTATTCTAACCCAGGGCTTCTCATCTGGGCCATCACTGGTTTGGGGGAACTAACTGATTCCTTGTGGTGAGGGACTGTCCTGGGTATGCTAGCCTCTGCCACGAGATGCTGGTAGCAGCCTCACCTCATTCATGTCCCCAGACTTTGCCATCTGTCCCCAAGGCCGGCAAATCCCACAGCCTGCTCCCTACTACATCCCAGTGGCTAAAAGCCGTTGTTGCAACCCAGAGCTCAGGCCTTGTTCTCCTTAACATGAAGATGGATCGGAGGCAGGAGGAGGTCGCGAGCGCTTGCAGCAGCCCACAGAGGCATCCAGGGTCTCTACAACATGTCTTCAGCATAGCTTCTGGGAATAGAATCAGGCCCTTTTAATCTCCCAGTTGACTGCATTTCAAAGCACTGCTTCAAAATAGCGATGATGACAGTGTTGTCATCCTTAACAAGCACAGCAGTGTCCAGGGCTACCGCAGAGTGTCCAGGCTTTCTATTATTTCCCCCGCTCTCCTGGAGTCCCTGAATTAGGAGATCTGTTAAGCCAGTATTTTGATATCACCCACACGTGCCATAATAAAGACCAATAGAAGTCAGCAGCTCTTCCCATGCCACTGGGAAGGAAAAGTCAGTGATAAGGCGTGCAGGCCTGGTTGTGCTTCCAGTAGAAGCGTCAGTTCGCCAACGAGCTCTTTCTCGCAGGACTGGCACTGCACCGGCCCCGTGACTTGTGCAGAGATGGAAACTTTAAATAGCTCTGAGTAACACTCTGCTTCCAGTGGTGGAAACAATTACTCTGTGATTATGTGCTCAGTCTTAAGCCGAGGCTTAGGATTCGCAGGGACTGACGTGAGCGATTCTCTATCCCAGGCAAATGCCAGAGCAGGTCACTGTGCAGTATGATTCACGGCTCTGGTTTTCCTCAGACCCGGAGGGTATTGTCAGAGGTTGCGAGGAATAGCTTGGCCTTTCAGAAGGAGATTAGGGAAACAAGAAGGAACTGAAATCCCTTTTACTTTTGTTTCACTTTGGTTTTTGGCTTTTGGTGACAGGGCCTCACTACTTTCTTCAGGTTGGGCTTGAACTCCGTGTAATCCAGGGTAGCTTCCTCCTGCCTCAGCCTCGTGAGAGCTGGGATTACAGGTGTGCACTGGACACTCTGCGGTAGCCCTGGCTGACTCCTTTTAATTCTGTAAACACCAGTATGCCTGCAACATAGTGTACAGGAGAAAGATAGGATGCTCTCATCTCCAAGCAAGCTGGCTTGCGCTGGGTTCCAGATAGGAGGGGAGCAGCACAGAGCTGAGCAGAGTGGGACCAACAAGGGAAGGCAAGAATGAACAAACAGAGCCACATTTCCACACCGCTGAAACAAAATTGTGTCGTTGATACAGGAGCCCATGTTTATATGGGGTCAGAGCCAGAATTAAAAACCCCAGCCAGATTCGAAAATTTCCGTTTTAGGCTTAACTTCAAAACTCTTCGTTTCTGTAAAGATGTTGTTGTTGTTGTTGTTGTTGTTGTTGTTGTTGTT